CCTCCTCCTCCTCCTCCTCCTTCTCCTGGGCACAGCCTGGGGCGCCACAGAGTCTATGGTGCCTCAGCAGGACCTCGAAACGCGGCTAGGGGCGCACCTTGCAACCGCCATTAGCCGCGCCCATCGGACACACACCGCGCCGTGCGCGGGGCCGGGGAGCAACGGTGCGAGGGTCACTAACGGCGCAACGCCGGGCAGTCCCCACTCGCACCGCGCCCCCCGTTGCCAATGACAAGGATTAGGGCTCTGGGAGCAGGCGATAACCTGCATACCTCAGAACCCTCTTGGCTAAACAGTACTCGCCCCGTCTCAATCGTTCCAGGATAAGGCGACGATCCTTCGAAAGATGACGGGGCTGGCACTCACTCGCAAGAGACACCACGCGCTGGGTGGTGCAAGCAGCGCAGTGAGTGCAACAAAAAACCTGGGTTTCGCCCACAAACAGCGAGGCCACACGATGATGCTTGGACCCAGCGGCCTTCAGAGAAACCTGAGCCTGCTGGATCCTTTGCTCTAAGGTGGGCGGCTCTGGCTTGACAATGATTAGGGAGGGGGCTGAACGTGCAGAGCGCTGGCGGTGCAAACAGTCTACAGATGCAATGGCCTCACCCGCCCTGGCGGCCCATTTCCCCGTAAGACTGACCATTCTCTGTAGGCTTGTAGGCTTCCGCGTCTCCGACATCAGCGGGATGTCGACGGCCTCGTTGATGCGGTCGACGATGCAGTCCACCGCGCGGCCGCTCAGCATGTGCGGCTGGGCCTCCGGCGCCCCAGGACCGGGCCCGGGCGCAGCGGCCCTCCACCAAAATGCGCGCGGCCCCCTCTCTCCTCCTCCTCCTCCTCCTCCTCCTCCTCCTCCTCCTCCTCCTCCTCCTCCTCCTCCTCCTCCTCCTCCTCCTCCTCCTTCTCCTCTTCCCCCCGATCATCCCTCTTCACCACTTCTCCATGTCTCTTCCTCCGCCTTCTCCCTTTCATGTTCCTCTTCCAGTTCTGCTTACTTCCTCTTCTTCATGAGAAGCCGCCACCGTGCCTGCAGCACGTAGTGGAGTGCCCCAAGGCTCATACAGCTCTGAGAAGTTCAAAGCTGTAGGGCTGAAAGGTTCTAAAGGCCCGGGCCACGGGCTTCACAAGGATTTCTGGAGATTTCCAAGGATTCCCCTGGATCCACCAGGATTTCCGGGGATTCCCCGAGACTCCCCGGGATTTCCAGAGATTCCAAGGGATTCCCCGGGCGTGTCGCGCGCGGTCCTCCGGTAGCACAGCCGGCTGGCCCGAAGAGGGAAAGACATTAGATTTAAGTATTTGAAAAATTCTAGCAGATGCTGCTTTTCGAAATTTCGGCGGCCCAAGACGGCCCAAGGGGCCCCCAAATGCCCCCAAGATCACCCAAGAGGTCTCCAAGATGGCCCCCTTACAGCCCAAGAGGCCCCCCAGACGGCCCCAAGAGAGCCCCAAGACGGCCCAAGAGGCATCCAAGACGCCCAAGATGGCCTCCAAGACGGCCCTGCAGCGCCCCAAGAGGAAGTCGGTTCAGAGAGGCCCCCAAGACGGCTCCCGACGGCGTCAGACCTGCCAGTAACACCCTAAGACGGCCACAGAGGCCCTCAAGAAGTCCTCTAAAGGTCCCCAAGAGGCCCGGGCTGGCTCTGGACATCTGCTCGATGCGACTGTTTGCAACAGTGCGTCCCATGGGAGGAGACTCCAGCTGCTTGAAACGGGCGCCCAAAATAACCCAGAGGGGGAGAGGGGGTGCGAGGGCCCGCGCCGATCGGCAAAACAATGAATAATAATATGATCACGTCCTAAATCATCCCGAGAGCCGAAACGATCCCGAGAGCCGAACGACAAAAAACCTGTATTGATTTCCTCGAGGAGTTGAGGAAAAAGAAGGACCAGTGTAGACCCAAGACGCATCAACGATGCTGCAAGAGACCATCCCTTCAAATCCCCTCTGCCAAGGTCCCTACAAGAATTCAGCGCACTGATTGAAGTGCGCCGTTGGAAAACAACCGTCTGAAAATCCTCAATCGTGACAAAACAGAAGGCCTTGGACTTCAACGCCGCAGATCAACTGCACCATTGCGTCATGTCGATCCAGAATCGTGCCAGAACACAATTCCGAGGACTGCAGCACCTCGAATCAGCGTGACTCTTGCGCCCTGACAATCCTAACCGTGCCAGAAGCCAACTCCTTAGACGTCAATGATAAGAATCCGCTGAACTGGTGTAAACGTTTGCGACGACTGCGCGCGGCGCTAACGCGAGAGCCACATTTTTTGACAGATCCGTGTACCATCCCTGAAAATCGTGCACACTTTCAAGACGAATGTGCGCGACGCGTAGGCGAGAGCCACATTATGACAACGGCCCACCCTCCATCCATGGAACTGCTACAACTGTTAAGACCAATGTGCGCGGTGCTAGGGCGAGATTGAAAACGACCCACCATCCATCCGTGAAACTCTTGCAAGCGTTTACAACGAATGCGTGCGACGCTGAGGGGAACACCACATCTTGAAAACGAGCCGCCGCCCTCCATCCGCGAAACCCTGGCCAACTCTTCAAACGCATGCGCGCGGCACTCAAGCGCGAACCACTCAAAATACGGCCCGCCCTCCATCAGTGACACTATGGTGCAACCTTGCACTGCGAGTGTGCGCGGCGCGAACGCGAGAACCACATGTTGAAAACCATCGCTACATCTGTGAAATGACTGTGCATTGTTAGGGCGAATGCGCGCGACGCTAATGCGAGAGCCACATGGTCAACGGCACTGCCCGCCCTCCATCCGCGAAACCCCTGCAAACTTTTGAGACGAATCTGCGCAACGCTAAGTGTGATAACCACATTCTGAAAACGACCCGCCCTCCATCCGTGACAGTGCTGTAACTTGTAAGCTTCAAGATCAGACATGGTGAGAACATCTCAGGCGGAATGCCCGACCCGCCCTACGGAGGACGAGGAGGAGGCGGAGGAGGAGAAGAAGGAGGTAGGGGGAAGGAGGAGAAGGAGGAGGAGGAGGAGGAGGAGGACCTTTTGACTCAGCACAGAGGTCGTGCAGGAGGAAGAGGAGGAGGAGGAGAGAGGAGGAGGAGGAGGAGGAGGAGGAGGGAGAGGAGGAGGAGGAGGGAGGAGGAGGAGGAGAAGGAGAAGGAGGAGGAGGAGGAGGGGAGGGATGAGGAGGAGGAGGAGGAGGAGGAGGAGGAGGAGGAGGGTGTGAGGAGGCGGAGGAGGAGGAGGAGGAGGAGGAGGAGGAGGAGACGGAGGAGGAGGAGGAGGAGGAGGAGGAGGAGGAGGAGGAGGAGGAGGAGGAGGAGGAGGAGGAGGAAGGAGAGGAGGAGGAGGAGGAGGAGGAGGAGGAGGAGGAGGAGGAGGAGGAGGAGGAGGAGGAGGAGAGAGGAGGCGGAGGAGGGAGGAGCAGGAGGAGGCGGAGGAGGAGGAGTAGGAGGCGCCGCTCCGCGGCGCGGCGGCTCTCTGCGTCCGCCGCCGCCAGGGCGTCGCGCTCGGACGCCTCTGCCCGCCGTTCGCGGCGCCTGGCGCGCCGCGCGCCGCGGGGGGTGGTCTGCCGCGAGGCGGCGGCGCACCGACGACGTCGACGACGTCGACGACGACGACGACGACGACGACGACGACGACGACGACGACGACGACGACGACGACGACGACGACGACGGCGGCGGCGGCGGCGGCGGCGGCGGCGGCGGCGGCAGCGGCGGCGGCGGCGGCGGCGGCGGCGGCGGCGACGACGACGACGACGACGACGACGACGACTACGCAGCGCGCGGAGCAGCGCGCGGCGCAGTCATCCCAGGCAAGCGCGCGTCGCGCAGAAGTCGCGGCGGGGGGCCCGCAATCGTGCTCGGCCTCCGGGGGGGCCCCTCGACGGGCCCCGTGGGCCGCCGGAAGACAACTCGGGGCGGAAATGAAGGGGCCCTGGGGCACACAAACAAATAGGCACAAATAATCAACAAGATTCCCAACATTTATTTTCCGGGTTTTTGTCTTCCCCCCCAAATTCCCATCTTTCCCCATATCTTCTGGGGAATCGACGACTCATTGTGTCTGTGTGATTTTTCTCCTCCTGAGGGAAGCCGGCCCCGGAGTGAGCAAGGGCTGGGCGGAACCTCTGGAGGCCCCGTATTGAGAAACCCAAGGCGTCGAGCATCTGGGGACGCAGCGTGCGGTGCGGTGACCGTGCGGGGAGTCTCCAGGGCGACGAGGCGCGGCAGAGGAGGGCTGGGAGCGACGCGCCACGCCTCGAGGAGGCCCTCCCGCACACAGATCGACCCGACCTGCTACAACTGGGAGGGCGGTGTTCCGTACCCCCCGAATAGAAGAGGAAACAAAGCATCAACACAAACTTTCGACGCTCCGCGCGGACTTCTTGGATCTGCGCTAGATCCGCGCGGTCCAGCGCAGATCCAAGAAACCCGCGCGGAGCGCCAAAATCTATATACACGGCCGTGTTCAGTATCCCCTGAAGAGGTCCAGCGTGTCGGCGGCCTCTTGAAGGAGGGGTGCCAACACCTATACGGGCATGCTCCAGAGGGCAAGGGCCACAGCTCCCACAGCTCTTGCTGGTCCTCCTCCTCCTCCTCCTCGAACGCGGTACAGTCAACCCGTGTCAGAAAGATGCACGACAAGGAGGCAAGGGCCTGGAAAGGTCATGTTGACACCTTGCGAGCGGGGCGCGGCCAACGAAAGCGGCCAAGGATGGACCGAGGAGGCAAGATGCAAGGGCAATCACCAGGGCTGAGGAGGATGGATCGGGGATCGCTGAAATAGGGCGGTTCTGGAATATGTGCGGGGCGCCGCGGCAGTTCCAGAGCACTCCGAACTGCTATGAGAGCATTCCGGAACGCTCTGGGGCGATTTACCAATCCTGGGCCCGCCCGAGACACAGCCAACGCGCATAGTAAGGACAAACGACTTTTTCAAGGGTGCCCTTGGGTCCTTGCCTGCCTCAGCCTCTACGGCCCGTCCCTAGCAATTTTCGCAGGCCAGTTTCTCATGTTCCCTGGGGGTTTGGCCGCCTGCCGCCCAGAATACTTCTACTTCGGCCTCCAAGGGTCTTGCTTCCTTACCACGCGTCCTTACTATACTTTTTCACTATAGTCGGGTTGCTGAAATCCCACGAGCCCTCCGGGCGTGAGTGGTTTGGCGCGTTTCCTCCTCCAGTCCCCGCTCTTCGCCTTCGGGGAGGCGTCGATCATTGTGCCCAGTGTATCAGCACCCCCTCCCCCAAGCGACTGGCAGCCAACCAGGATCCATGAGGACCCCCCCCACCATCCCTGTCAGAAAATAGATCGACGGGCAAAATCTTGGGTCATGATCGGGAGGGGCTGCGAGCACTTCGTATTGTTTTTGTTGACAGGGACGGCGGGGCTGCCCGCATATTGCCTGCTGCGCGCAGGGCCAGCACCCCCAACAAAAAACAATACCACAGGCACTTCGACACAAAATTCGGCTCGAGCGCGGGCACCCCGTGATCACTGTGCACTGGTCTTTGGCCGGGACGGCGGGGGTGCTGGCACAGTGCATGCCACGTGCGCAGGCGCACCTGGCACACTCCACGCGTGCACTCAACGTGGCGCACCTGGCACAGCCGGACCCTGCGGCACGCGTGGCGCACGCGGATCGTCTGGCGCAGCTGGCGCACCAAGCGCGCCCTGCACGCTTGGGCCACAAGGGTGCCTGGCGCACCGGGCGCGCGTGGCGCGCCTGGCACGCCTGGCGCACCTCGTCCCGGCGTTCCGCACATGGGGTCTGTTGTGCTTCCCAGAAGCTGCCCATCCGAAGACTGCCGCTGAACACGCTGCGGCTCGGGTGCTACTTCTGTGTTGGGAGGGCGGGTGGGAGTGAGCGAGACGGCTTTCGGGGGGAGAGGGTGTCTTGATCACTGCTCCTGAATAATATGCACCCCCTCCCCCACCCGACTGCGGACTAACCCGCGACATGCCACAAACACACACACACACCATCCCTGTCAAAAACCATACAGAATGCACTTTGCCTCCAAATCTGGAGCATGCGCGGGCGCCCCGCGACCACTTTGCGTTGGTGTTTGGCAAGGACGGCAGGGGTGCAATCATGTTGCCCGCTGCGAGCAGGCCAACCATCCCTGTCAAAACATCATACAGAATGCACTTTGCCTCTACATCTGGAGCATACACAGGCGCCCCGCGACCACTTTACATTGGTTTTTGACAGGGACGGCGGGGGTGCAGTCATGTGCTTAAGCGTGGAGCACAGGCCGCACTTGGCACGCCTGCCTCGCTTGGGCCTCCTTGGTACCTGGTGCACCGGGAACCCGTGGCGCACATGGCATGCGTGGCGCTCCTAAGCAATGCGCTGAGACTCCCTGGGCTTTTGCTTATGTGTTGGAAGGACGGGTGAGAATGAGCGAGATTGCTTGCGGGTGAAGGGGGGCCTCGAACCCTCCCCCTGCCCCCTTCCCCCTGGGTTTAGAGGGGGTCCGCGAGAAGTTGGGGCGCCCAAGATGGCCTCGGCAAGGAAGCCAAATTCATTGATTTGACCAAAAGTGTTGGCCACATTTTGGCCTCCTGGGGGTGACATGAATTGAGGAGCTCCCCTCCTTTGATCGATCCCCTCCAAGATGCTCCCAAGAGGCTCCCAAGAGACCCCCCAGGGGCAAGAGGCCCCCCAGAGGCACTCAAAACGAACCAAGAGGCTTCCGCATTGTACTACGGTTTTGGCCACATATTGATTTCCTGGGGGAGTTCACCCGAAGTAAGGAGCCCCCGTTTGATCGATCTCTTCCAGGATGGCCCCAAGACGCCCCCAAAACTCCCAAGGGAGCCCCAAGACGGCCCCAAGAGGTGCCCTGGAGGCCCCAAGAGGCCACCACGATGCCCCCAAGATGTCCCCAAGAGGCTCCCAATAGACCCCCAAGAGGCTCCAAAAAGCACTCCTGAGGCACCCAGGACGCCCCAAGCGGCCTCCGGAACTGCCGAGAGACCTCAAGACGCCTCCAGGACTCCAAGAATCTCTCGACAGAAATCCAAATAGACTCCGAGAGGCATCCAACAGGCCTGGCTGGGCTCTCGTCCACCCGCCCCGCCGCGGAACAGCGCGCTGGGCTGCCGTCCAGAGGCGGGGAGGCCGTTCTTCCCACCCTATCCCAGCAAGGGCGGGCCTCGGTCATGGACAGGTTCCCCGACCTGGATCGGAAGCCAGGCAAGGGCTGCTAAATCCGTCCTTCCGGGAAGAAGCCCGTTGACTGTTTCGCGTGCCGCGCCTCATTCCGGGAAGTTGCTTTTTCCTTCCGGGAGGGCCGTTTTAGCAGCCACGGTTTTGGCAGCCCTCGCCGAGCTTTCGACTGGATCGATGGACCTGGATCTGTGGAACGGCATCGGGAGGGAGACCACATGCGGGCGAGCAACGACATATGTACATGTACGCCCTCCGCGGTCTTGCCTGCACGAACGTCCGCGTTGACACGCACTCCAGGGGAAGCTAACCGCGTACGTGTACATGTGTTGCTGGCCTCTGAACATGGGAACGGACGATCCGAGTCGACCGTGGGGCGGCAGTGCGCGCAGCGATCCGCGCTGCCGGCACGGCCGAGTCGCTCCGCAGGGCGGCTCCCTCGAGCCATCCACGGGGCCATCACTTCAGCGCCTTGACTGTGCGCGACAAACGCTTACAGGGCAGTTGTTAATACATAGGATGTTGTCAAAAACATGGGATTTGTAATGCATGATTAACTTAGGAATAAGTTGTTGCATGAACCCATCGTTGTTTTTAGTACTGCGCCCCTGCATGTTCTGATACATGATCCGCACGCGGAGCATGTATTAAAAACGGCACTGTACGGCGCACATGGTCGTGCACTCACTCGTCGTGCCTGCCGTCGCACCGATGTGGATCCCCCGGAGTGCACGCCTTCGCTGGCCGACCTCCCACGCCCCGACCCCCGCCCCTCTAACTACCCTTTGCTGCCGGGTGCTCTGCTGGGCTGGGGAGGCTCCTCCCCGGAGCCCTGAACCTCGAGGGAGGGCGCGAAGGGCAGGAGGCTGAAGGCGCCAGGAAGCTTGGAGACTGGATCGAGGGCTCCCAACCTCGCGCTCTCGCGCTGCGCGAAGCGCGAAGCGCGAAGAACTTCGCGCTCTCGCGCCGCCTCCCAGGGGAGAAGAGGAGGATGAGAAGGAATCGGAGCCGAACGGCGAAGCGCGAGGCGCGAATGACTTCGCGCCCTCGAGGGCGCCCTTGTGGATGGACCTCGAGAAAATCGGTTTGGAAAAGCGCAAATCCGTTCAAAATCGCCCCCGGACCCCTACAGAGGCCCGCGTGCCACAGTTTTGCACCCAGGACTCGCTTTCGACGGTCCCGGGACCACAACGGACCCTGGAGGCCGAACCCCCTCCCCCCCCGACCCCCCCCCCAACAAAAAAACCTTTCTCGGGGGAGAAGGCGAGACCTCCCCCCAAAAAAACGTGCTTCTTGGAAGGAGGGGAGAAACCCGATCCCCCCCCCAACAAGAGAAAACTCCCTGCCGGCCGAAACCAGCGCT